ACATGTATATTTTAAATTGATGATTTACTTATATTAACTAGTTATTATATGGCTACACAATGTTATGTATTTAACATATATTACAGGCCATTTAGACTTTTGGAAGTTCTTTACACTATAATAAAATCCTAAACTTACACTCGGTATAGTAATGAAGATAACTACTGGTCAATAATTTAATTATTTCCTCTGAAAGTGTGTGGGTGTGGGTGTGAATGCGGGTATTTCCTTTGTAAAAATTATTATCCACACCGACGCTCACACCGACGCTCACACCCATACCCACACTCTACCCTGTAGTCATTTGAGATTCAGCACGTTCAGGTGATAACAGACAGCAACATGTAGATAAATAAGAATAAGAATTAAATCTTGCATTTATTTTAGAAATGTTAACCTCTGTAGACATCCCGACAACAAAACTCAGGCTCAGCTATGTTCACAATGCTTGCTCATTACCTTTTCAATACAAAACTATTGCACAGAGCTTCGATGAGATTGCCTCACAATATCCTGATTAGTGGTCGTTCGAAAACAACATCCTCAAATTTTGGACCAGTTTTGAATCTCTCTTCCTCCATGCTATAAATCACTATCAACTGATGAATACCCTGTCTCTCTAAATAACTCTATCAGTCGAAGAGGTAGTATATCAATACAATATTCAAAGCAGATATTTGACAAGTCATTGATTGAACTGACTTCAAATGTCGTCCTCCCTACATTGATTGATCAAGATCTTCAATGATAAATGTATCTGTTTCCAGAATTGTTAAAAACGTCGCAATATTTTCAAAAATAAGATTATTAAGTAGAACATGGTATGACTCGAACAGTTTTTAAAAAAAGAGAGGCTCTTTTAATGGTGTTCGTTTACATACTTACTGATTTTCATGCTCGGGCATGGATAAGCTCAGTTTGTGTGCGATGGATTTTGGTATCGGTGTGGAGTTGGGTGGAGATAGAGGGAACATCCACATGAACAACTATACCTTCGCAGTTAAGACATAGTTTTGAGATGTGGCACGGTCTTTTGTTTCTGTTTCGAGTATATATGATGAGTTTTGAGGTAGTTATCATTAAAGTTTAAGCCTCCTCGGCAGAAATATAGGCGAATATTCTAATATTTTACACTATAAAGTATTCTATTCTGAAGCATAGTACGTTATATTTTTTTCAAAATCAATGTTGCTGCAGTCATCAGCCAACTGCCTCTTTCTTTTTCCAAATCATCAAACATCATTTGTTGGCTAATCTCTTCCTCCGTTCCCATTGTTGACATCATTACCGGATGACTGCTTATGAATGTTACGTATTCAAAGGTATATCTGATCAATTGTATGTTGATATAACTGTTGTCTTGTTTCAATAGCCGCCAATAAACGATACACATATGCGACTATGAAAAATGAAATCGACTGTTTGTCAAAATCTCTTCTGGAACTTGGATTTCAGGGAGGTGATCGGCTAGCGGTATCGTTGCCAAGTTGTTCTGAAAATGTTGTTCTCAGTTATGTGGCCTCCAAACTTGGCCTGATTAAGGTATGTAATGTCAACACAATACGAAAATCAACTTTTTTTTCTCGGATGGTTTTCAAAGTTGAACTTGAGGATGTGGGTATGAGTCTTTTCTAGTTCCACGACCACGCTCATACTCTAGACAGTATAATTTTAAAATCAACGTCATAAACCTAATTATTTATTATATATAGAATAAATTATAGTGACTCGAGAGCAGAACAACTGTGGAACAGCAATGATTCAAATTCGACCTGATCGTGTCGAACCTTTTCATGTTCGTCAGAGGATACCATAAAACTTAGTTGGATCCATTCATCGAAATTTGTGGGATCTAATAAGGTCCTTTCTCGATTAAACCTTCTTTGGGTTCCTGACCATTGAGTTCCGGACTCCATCCGATAGAACTTGACTATTTTCGACATAATTCAGCATTAAATCTGATCGAATTCGAGAAGATTCAATGATCAGATTTCTCCAACTGGGTACAAGCAAACCTTCAAACATGATGAGTCGTTTTTATAATATGGTTACATTCAAATGACAGGGAATATGGAGAACATAAGTACCCAAGACTCATTCGAATTTTTGAGTATTTGTGGCTGAAATGTCGAATTTGTAGGGGAGTTTTCTTCCAGAGCACTAATTTTAAAGCAAAAACATAATTTTGAATTTCGATGTAGAACATGGTTTGTATAGGATCCCAACAAAAGTGACTTATTAAATAATTGCAGAATTTTTTAACAAAATCTCTCTAAGGTATGAATTCTTCGAAATATTCTTGTTTTTTAAAATAGCTGTGGCAATGTTCTTATATTTTGAAAATATCATATTTCTGAGAAATGTTATCAAGAATTCTGAAACTTTTCACAGACTGACTTAGTCTGTATCAGTACGCGATCAACGAAAGGATAGCACTTTCTGCACCTTTTCAGCATCTCAGGACCTTCTAACAGTTTTTGGTGCTGATGTACTGTAGCTACCCACTTGAGTCAGCATTCCAGATAAAAATTCTAAAGTGCGACTTTGCTTCATCAGTAGGATCCTGAAGCAGAAATCTATTAGTAATTCGATGTCTCAGTAACAAAATCTCGGAAAATCGAGCAAGTTCGGCGTATTTACCTAATCACCATGATCTATTAATTGAATATTGCTACAGTATAAAAGCGATTTATACTTTTGATAGAGCAATTGACCTAATCGAGTGTTTCTATCTATCGGTTCACCATTTCAACGATGCTTGCGAGTCGAAGAGTCGAAAAGAGAAAAACACGTACGATGAGAAAAGCAAAACTTGACTTACCGACATATTTTGATCGACAGATTGCTTCGCCGATTATTCTATCAATCAGTTTGCCATCCTAATGATGATCCTCGACAGACTGACTAAAAAAATGTTTGATCTAAATCATGCATTGATACGAAATAAGTAAATATTTGATTGATTGACATAGTTGATTAGAGCTAAAGTGGCTTCTAGCATTAGTAAGACTATAGTCAAAAATGCAGTTAGTATTATTTTTAGTAGTTCAATATTGAAAGCAATATTCTTACACTTTTTATAGAAATCTAGTAATGAATGCAAAATTTCCATACTAGATTCAGTTTTATCATACTACTGCCAGGTTATCCAGTACTCTACTCAGCAGTGAAATCGATAGTTAGTCAGTACTGACGAGAAAGATCTACCAACTGATAAATCGCTTTCCATTCGAAACCTACTCGACTATAGGTAACCAACCATAGTGAATTCGAATATCAGAGTCTCAGCTGCTTATAGTCTTCCAGAGACCCAAATTCTGAAAAAACTGTTTTTCTATAGAAAAAAAACTTCTTTTTCAAAAAATATCCTGCTCTGTCCAAGTTGTAGAGCATATCAAGTTGTCCATCGAAGTCTATTTTTTCAATTTGTGAACCATTCATGAGTTCATTAAAACACTTAAAACTTGATATGGTTGTAGATTTTTAGTGGTTTTTGCATTTTCATCTCTGAGTATTTTCCATATCAGATAAGGGGCTGTGTCTACAAATAATTGCTTTCTTTTTATATAGACAAAAAGTGGCTCTTGTTATGCAAAGAAAAAATATTCGTTGTACTAGAACTTAAAATACTTTGAAATCTCATCTGACAGAAGCGCAAACCGAAACCAAGAGACTATGGAAATTCGATCTAAAAAAAGTTTTAGTAATTCAACGTTTTCTGTAGATTGTGGGTGTGGATTTTTTAATGTTTCTTTTGAAAGTAACAACTAATATAATATAATCTGAAATTTCCAACAGAGACGGATTAACAAGCCATTCAGAGATAAAAATGCGAAAGCAACTAAAACTCTTCAAAACATGTCTAGCTTCGCGTATTTTAGTGAACTCATTAATGGTTCAAAAATTTAAAAAAAAACAGATATCTATAGACAACTCGATGTGGTATACAACTTGGGTCGATCAGAAATTTTTTTTGGCAAAAGAAGTTGTTTCCGTAGAAAACCAGCTTTTTCAAAACTTGAGTCTCCAGAAGCCTATAAGCAGCTGAGACTTCATTATTCGGATTCAGTATGGTTGGTTACCTATAGTCGACTAGGTTTCGAATGGAGAGAAATTTATCAGTTGATGCATCTTCCCTGTGAGTAGAACTGACTGAGTTCTAATACTAAGTGAAAGTGTTTTAGTACTGAACAATTAGTAAGGAGATTTGGATTGTCACTTCATCAATATAGATATTTTCTTCCATATGCTCTAAGAGTAGTTCTCATTAGTTAAAGTATTTAAATGGGAAAAAATGAAAAGCATTGACTTTTTTGTGCTCTTTGCTTTCAATTCTACGAATGCCTATGTGGAGAATCTCAGCAATTTAATCTACTTGAGAAATCAATTTTTTTGTCACTGATAAAATTAGTTTAACGATTTGTTCCTAGTTACACATGAATCCTGCTTACGTTGCACGTGAAGTGGCCTATGGTCTTAATAAAGTTGGCTGCAAGGGTATTGTAATTGCTGGAACCGATAGTGCGCTAAGCACGCTGAAATTGGCAGTTACTGATCTCGAAGAAGAATCGTGGAAGAGTGTACCGACTCTCAAGCATATCGTTTTGGTGGGATTGGATCAAAATCCGCTTGCTGGTATTCGAAATACACATTTGTACAATGAATTGATCATACAAAACAAGCAACGTTCAACCCAACATGAAATACAGCCAGTAGACCCAGAGCTGCCGCTGTCAATTTTTCTGACTTCAGGTTCAACGGGGCAACCTAAAGCGGTGACTTATACGAATTTCGGAGTGTTTAACACTATCGCAATGTTTACATTTCACTATGGTTCGTACATATCGCGGCATTGTTCACATCTAGCGATGCACCATATGTCTTCCGGTCTCTTGGGTTGTCTTCTGCCATCGGCGAATCGTTGCAAAATCATCATACCGTCTCCAAACCGTGATTCTGAAGCCACCATGTGTGCAATTCATGAGGAAAAATGCACATCTATGTTTAGTGATCCTGCATTCTTTCGCTTAATTCTGGCACATCCAAATCGACACAACTATGATTTGGGCTCGTTACAATATGTTGGTGTTGGCGCAACATCTGTGCAGCCAGACTTCTTGCGCATGCTTGAAACAGAACTTCACATAGGTCGAACTGGTCAAGAATATGGTCTAACCGAGAGTGGCAATTTTCTTACTAGTAGTCTCTATGTCGATCATAATGACAATCGACGGCATACATCACTTGGCCGATGTCTACCACATATTGAGCTCAAAATCGTTAACAACGATGGAACAACACTTCCAATCGGATCCGAAGGAGAAATATGGGCTCGTGGTTATTCAATCATGCGTGGCTACTATAATGACCCTGAACAAACGATAGAGGCTATAAATAATAGTGGATGGCTTCGAACAGGCGACATAGCTACTATGGATGAAGAGGGATACTTGTTCTTTGTCGGTCGAAAAAAGGACATGATTATTCAAAGCGGTCTTAATATTTATCCACTAGAAATTGAGCGAGCTATTTATGAACATCCAAGCGTAGCCGAAGTTCACGTATTTGGCATTCCCGATCCTCTTATGGACGAAGTCGTATGCGCATTTGTGGCACTCAAACCTGGAATGACATGCGAAGCTGAAGAACTTAAGATATTCCTTAGCGACAAGTTATATGCATTCATAATACCAAAGCACATTCAATTCGTGGATGATTTTCCCCGAACTTCATTGGGCAAAGTTCCTAAGTACAAACTCGTCGAGCATATGATCAAAGCGTTAAATAACTGATATAAAGTATGCCACTTAATCAATGAAATCCTTTTGTAG